TCTCTCTCTCTCTCTCTCTCTGTTTCGCCGCAGCGCTATCGATCCAGAAAAATCCTGTGAACCGAAACGCGGAAACGCGCGCGCGCACGTATGTGTGTGCGTGTGTGCGCGCAACGACCGATGATCGCGCGCCGTAAAAACATGGCCCGCCGAGAGGATTCCGCTCGATATTTTATGAATCATGGAACACCGCGCGCGGACATTGCACGGCATCCTCGCGGCGCATTATTCGTGTCAACCATCCAGCAACGGGTACGTACAGAGAGAAAGAGAATCTAGCCTAGTTGTTATTTCATAGTGGTCATCGTCATCGTTGTAATCGTATTCCGTGGCTATATATACCCGTGGACACGATCGATCGGCGTTTTTGTTTCTACTGCTCTATTCGCTCGTGCCTTCCGCGTTAAGTGTAATTATCGATCGAATGACGCGTTTGTGAAAGAGGAGAAAAGAGATTCAAAAAGGAAACGAGAGGACACGCGGATGAAACTTATAAATAAATCTTAGGCAAGTCGCGTGCTCGCATAATACGTATGTTGCGATGTTGCACGTTTGCATACCGATCAGAGAGAGAGAGAGAGAGTTAACGATTATCTGGAAATTGTCGTATAATCGCGGCGACGCTTGACGTCAGTGTAATCTCGACACTGCATAGAACACAGTTTTTCCCCGGGAGCGGTATTGGCTGGTTCGAGAGAGCGCAACCTGGCCGGATTTTCGAAGAATCGGCCGCGTCGTTAAAATGCAACAGGTTTTCGAGACCGGCCGGATGGATTCGAGTTCTCTGATCCGACCAGAGCATTCCTCCTCCAAAGAGTAAAGCTTCTCTCTCTCTCTCTCTCTCTCTCTCTCTTCGTTTGCGCCACACCAGCCTCCGCCGGATGACCCGTGCCTTTTACAATTTTACTTCGAGTTCGCCACGCTTAATGAGAATAACAACCAACGATGGCCGTCAAACGCCACCGAGAATAGAAGCGTTCTAATTTAGTACTGCAACCTTTCCCACTGTCCTAGAAATTCGTAAGTACTTGCGTTCCTCGTGCTTCTCTCTCCAGCGTGACGTAATTCTTTTCGCATTTCCCACGCGCGGTACTTTTGAAATATTTTTTTCTTCTTTTCTTTTTCTCCTTTTTTTCACGTATTATTCGCGGGCCAAGCTATGCAACAACGATCGTCGTTGACAGCTCATAAAAATCCTGGCAGCGGTATGCGCGATACAATGACTCAGCATTTCTGCTGGCAGATAGTCCTCCTCTGCTGTGAACAATCGACGATAGAACGGAAGGTGTTGCACGGATTCTGCCCGAGCGAGGAAATCGATCGAGGAAAATTAAATACACGCGTGTTTTAAGTACACACGTCTTACTGCAATTTTTTCTCAAGATTGTCTTCCTTGTTAAACCTCTTCTTTTTTTTTCTCTCTTTTCTCTTCCTTTCTCTTCTCTGCCACGAGCGAATTTATTACACGAGGAAAGGCAAACTGTTCGACGAACGTATTATTATTCATGAACTATTACAACCGCGTGTCATTGGAATCAATTATATCGATACGCATCGATCAAGCTTATTACATTCCGGCATGCATCGAGCGAAACTCACGTTCCGCTATATATATTAGTTGACTCGAAATAAGATCTCGAGAGAAGATTCGCCGATCGAATCTGAATTCTCAATGTAGCACGTAATAAGCACAATTTCTACGACGAACGCCACAACGAAATAAAATTAATTACGCAGTTTTCTACTGCGCGAAAATTCATCGAGATTTAATCTGATCCGGTTTGCCGGAAAATAATTTCCTTTCGAAGATTATAAGCGTGGGAAAAACGAAGCCCGAAAAGTGCAAGGGGGGAAATAAAATTGAAATTTGTTTGGCTGAAAAAAAAAAAAGAAAGAAAGAAAAAAAAAAAAAAGAAAAAATATCCTCGTCCCTTCGGTTTAATATACATTGTATAAACGAGCGGAACTTTCATCGAAATCAGCGTAGCGGATGTTCCCTAGTAAATCCTTTGAATAAATCTGGTCACGTGACTACTTATCAGTCGGCAGCATCGACTGGGGAAGAGAAAAATCGAATCCTCGACCAATCGATTCGCACAGCTGGTTTTCCACGACGTGCACGTACGCATGGAGAGATAGAATAAACGAGTTCCGGGCGTGTGTGTCGTGTGTGCGTGTGCGTGCGTGTATGGGCCACGTACCACGCGGCCAAGCAATGGGAATGATCAGTGCTACTGATACTACTGAATGAACTTTGACATCGCCTCCGCTCGCATGACTAATGCGAATTTACTGTGCAATCCACTGTTACTAATTGTTCTTTCTTTTCATGTCGTTTATATCGACTCGCGAAAATATCTGAACTCTTACCGTAGAAAAATATTCGTCGATATTTTTTTTAGCGGGGGGGGGGAGCAATATGAATTTTGAAATTTCACTGACCAGCCGATTGAGAACGTTACGAAATATTTATTGCAGCAATATATTGACGAAAAAAAAAAATTAATATACATAGTACTTCAAGTTAAAGACACTGCCGAACATTCAGCAAAATTTCAAGCTTCACCGATCGTGATCGTAATAACGTCGAGAATTTTTGGTCTCAAAATTGCAATATTTTCTCAGTTTTAAATATATTTAAATATAACCCGGGCAAAACGAATAATAAATTTGTTACTTCTTAGCAATAATTTCTATCCAGTGGTATCGTACGAATTCAAAAAGGAAGCGACGAATTATTATATACAGTTTGGTCACTCGTTATGGTCCGCGAATCAGTTGCCAGCGCAGAGTTAACCTCTTGCGCTAGAATGACGCACGTCGAGAATTTTTTGTCCGAAAATTGCAATATTTTCTCAGTTTTAAATATATTTAAATATAACCCAGGCAAAACAAATAATAAATTTGTTACTTGTTAGTAATAATTTCTATTCAGTGGTATTATACCGACGATATTATTTAAAAAGGAAGCGACAAAATTATTGTATACAGTTTGGTCACTCGTTATGGTCCGCGAACGAGTTGCCAGCGCAAGAGGTTAATGAAATTTCAAAAACAGATAATACGTTACAAGTGTGTTCAAACACTTTCTAAACACAAACTTCATTCAATTTCGTTTAAACATGAATTTTAATGACCGATAATTAACCTCGTTGAAACACGATGAATAATCAATATGTTTCGGTGAACCGTGAATCGATTCGATCGATCGGAAATTGGTCTATATTTGGCCCATAAGCAAAAGATTCGCAGAGAATGTGTGAAGAACCGTACGAAAGTTCTGTGTGAACGCAACGAGCGTACGCGTAGCGTAGGTTCGAACGCACGTGTGTAAGTCTGTCAAGCTCGCCCCTTCCAACAACAGCCGGCCCCCCTCCTTTCGCGTCTCTGACGAAACTCCCGACTCCATTGGTCCGACCCTTGCCCTTCCCCGCGCTTCCGCAGACGACTCATTCCATTCAGTCACCCGTACGAATTCGACGCAACCACGCTACCGACCACGCCGCGTGCTCTCTTTCCTTTCTCACTCTCGCGCCTCGTTTCCCTTTCTTCTCTATCGAGCGTGATTTTCCATCCGTCCCTCTCGCTCCTTGTTGCGTGTTGCCCGCGACTCCGTCCCGATCTTTCTGCCTCCTCTCGATACGTACTTCTGCACCGCTCTCTCTCTCTCTCTCTCTTGCCGCGCGGCGCGCACACAGCAACAACAACAATAACAACAACAACAACACAACGCCGAGGAGAAACGTTCGCACAGTTTCTAACCTGACCTACGCGTCGCACGGCCAGGGGCGAGAGATCCCGGTGCAATGTCATCCTGTTAAGCAGGAGCTCGCGTTTTTTTCTTTTTTTTTTTCTCCCTCCCCCAAGCACGAATTCGTTTTTAACCAAGAGAGGGATCGAGGATATCGTCAAACGTGAGAACGTTTCCCGGCTGGCGAGCATCTCGCGCCGAGTACGTTTCTTCGTTTTTTTTCGTTCGGTTTGAATTCTCTGGAAGAGGAAAGACAACAAAGGAATATTGTTACGTACGTTGCTCCGTCGAAGTCGCCTGTCAAAGCTGCACGACGACGCTTCCGTGAAGGGGATATACAGATATACAAGATCGACGACGACGATGGATCTCACACTCCGTGGATCTTCTCGGGAGTTTGG